GGCCTATCAAGGAAATTGATACAGCAAATTCCTATTAGTAACTGAGCCTCGTGTTGCTTTTACCAAGAGCGCTAACTGCTTATCAGTGCAACAGGGAAGCTCCAGACACACGGCGGAGCGGCGCAGCTATGGGGTAAGCCGTCCTGTCTTATGCATGGGGTTTTGCCACATCAATGCAGCACATAAGGGAAGACACTATTTTGGATTTTGTGTGCTTAGCACCAATGCGATGTTAAGCTCAGACTCCCCTTCAGGATGGCTCATCCTGGATGAGTCACCAACATTGATTAACAGTGGCATACAACTTCTGAACAGTTTCAACGGTGAAACAGCCAGAATAATAGCGATTGCAGTGATTTGAAAATGGGATGTCAAAAGCCATGATAGGCGATGGGAGCAGCTCATAAGCCTGAAAATTGACCCATTCGAAGGACCGCCTCGGTGATTGAAAGTCTGAGGGAAGTCTTGCAACTCATCGTGAGGTATTTTTGCCGGTGATAAGCAGCGCTTTTGTACATCTTCCCACATTATTTTTATTTTAGTGCAATTACATAATCCATTAGTGTAAAATAGCGTCTTCCCTAATGGCGATGCCATTACATAGTGATATCCACCAATGTCGGCGATCGCTGCAGTCTCTGGGCATGCTGACCTTCGATTGCATTTGTGCAAGGCGACTCATTGCGATAGCGTTCTTGTATTATCTGGTGACCGGCTGCCGCAAATTGGGTCGCCCCTACTTCCGATTCCAACAGAGAGTTGGAATGGTAGTCGCGTTTTGAGGAGTTCTTTTGTACTATTTTCGCTCGCGATGCTGGTAGTTTTCCATGCTTGATACCAATTACCAAGTCACCTTGCACCTCCGTTCCTGTTGAAGTTTATGTTTCGGTTTCAATCGGAGTAGAATAGGAAATCTGAGTACGCAGTTTCGTGCCCGCACTGACACATTTGCGAGGCATTCCTGCAACAAGAGCTTTTGCAAACTTAACACGCCGATTTTCTGATTTCGAGGATTGCTGCTTTAAATTTAAACACTCTGGCTTGGCGCGCGCCAGGCGCACGTTCAAGCTCGTGCCCTGCCCGCCGCCCAAACCGCCGGTGCGTACTTTACGGTGCATCTAGTCGGTCGCATATTTGACCCGAATTTCCAAGTACGACCCATTCGGACAATGAGCCATCGGCTGGAGCGGCGCCTTGGAGTACATATCTGCCCCCGGCCGGTGCTTTGGCCGCTCCTCGAGCCTCTCCTTATAGTCACGAGGTTGAATTTCGACGGACAGAAACAAGAATGGTTCCGACACACTGGAGACCCAGTAGCTTAGCTACCCCCAGCGCGGAAGACGCACTGCAGCGAACCTCGGGGACCCTGCTGAACTGTGAGATATTCCAATGTGGGTATAGCCAGGCTTGATATCTACGTTTAGGTTCGGCCTTTGCGTTTTTACGCGCAAGAACGCAAATTTGCGAAGGGGCTATTATTGCGGCAATTTTTGCGTTTTTGCGGCTCGTTACTACACGATGAAAGTCGCGGACAGCGATGAGTCTTCCGCCATCTACAGCACCCGCAACACAGCGGCCACCTCACCCTCGGCGAGGGCAACGGTGGCATGGAAATTTTCGTTTTCTGCCTATTTCAGGGCGTCTGCCTGCCACTCCCCGGACTTCCTAAGTCTGTGTTCTGTTATTATGTACACGAGGTTACATTTACGTTGTATTCACGTATTTTAATGCACTTTTGCGTGTACAGACGTTAAAATTATTTCTACGCAATTTTGCGCGTAAAAGCGTAAAAACTATTTTTACATCAAAGCGTAAGTACAATCTGTGCCTACAGCGTAAGTGCCAAGCCTGGCTGTATCATCTTTTGACCGCTTAGGAGGACATGGGGCTGCTTTTTCAACGTTGAGGCTGCCGGGAAAAATATGTGATAGAGCCGCTTGAGCTCTCGGCGGACGCGCTGTATGGCATCCGTATATACCTCCACTGTGAGCGTTCACACAGCTGCCGGGTTCCAGTTGGACGGCCAGGAAGGTCGACGGTTACTGACCCACGGCGCTGGGAGCTTACTGCAGCCTTGCTGAGATTCTGGCCCCTTGAATCGCGTTCCTTGACTTCCGTCATCTGCTTGTGCGCATCTGTCACTAGCTGAATCACATCATCTTGCCATGCCAGCCGCCACGCCGTTTTGACACTAAAGGGCGTCATCACAGTGACTGCGATGGCCTAACAGGAGTTGTGATGGCATCAATTAGTGTCAAATGGCATCACAGTTGGCATCGCCAGAATGCCGTTTTCTACCGGTGTGTGTCGCTAAGCAGCCGCGTGCGTCGTTGGCGTCCGTTGGGGCGGTTTATTCTTGATCGAGATGGCAGCTTGGAGGTGCTTTAAAGCATTGCCTTGACAAATTTGTAAAGGCACTGGGTTAATATGGCAGTTGGCTCATCAGAGACGATAAGTATAAGCAGTGCGTTGAAATTAAATACCCATGAATAATGGTTTATTGCCGCGTTCAAGCGTACTTCAATGAATCCATGCATCACGAGCCTGAATTGTTGCTTGTGTTTCTCACTTTTCTGTGCACAGTTCCATGCCAGTTTTCCGTCGTTGTGGATGCGGCGGTAAAGGGCAGCAGCGACCAGTGTGGGAAGCATGAAATACGCAATGTCCACCGCTGTGACGATGGCAGGGATATGTGCAATAGGTATGTCAAGCACGGCGGAGTCAAACATGGCGGACAGGGTTTTTGGTACGATGGATGCTGCAGTGGCTTGGGGCCGAGCGAAAGTTACGAGGAGCTCAGCGGATGGACAAGGAAGTATGGCGGGCCAAGCGGATACGGTGGAAATGACCCCAACGAGCATTCAGGGTGTCGTTATGGCCATAGCACGAAGCGGTGGACACGAGAGCCAGCAACTATGCTAACCCTGTGAGAGGGCCGCCTCCTGCGGCAGCCAGGGCAAGTGCACAAGCGACGGCACATAGAACGCCAATGGGCTGTGACAGAGAAAGCGCGGCACCGCCACGAGCTTCAATGGGCATCAGTGTGGAACCATTGGCTGGCCTGTCCCTCACTGCAAAAAGCGCACAGCTTTCCAGGTCGAACGGCAGCTGCACGCCGTGAACAACGACGCTGCAAGGCGGCGGCGGTGGCCAAATCGTTGCATATTGGAAGGGCGGAATCGCTGCACATTGGAAGGATGCACCAGCACATCGACCGAAGTACTTCGGTCGATGGAGCAGGGCATACAATATGCACATTTCAGGTGGGCAGGTGAATGCTCTGGGCCACAAATATTAGCAAGTGCACCATCAGTTACTTTCATGGCTGCGAGGTTCCGGCCGCCATTGGTGTGAGCATCGAGCTGTACTTCGAGTTGCGGATGCATTCCGTTGATGGGACATCACCACAGCATGCATGGGAAGTTCCCTTGTCGCAGTTGGAGCCGCTGAACACGATGAACTGGGGCGACTGGGGCGATACGTTACATTTCCATATACGATTTGCTATGTAGGGCGATTCCAACCTGCCGAATCTCGACATTCTCAGACTGACAGTGACTCAATGTCTGCGTAGGCCGCCTTTGAGCATCATGCTTGCGGAGCAACTGGCATATATGCCTTCTTATATAAGAAGAACGCACCTCCCGTCCGCACCACTTATTGCTCCTGGAATGGCAGCCAGGCCACCTGGATGGTAATGGCGGAGTGACAAAGACAAGGCCAGAATGCCGGGGTACGATTATCCTTACAAGATTTCGTTGGTCTTCTTGCTTTGGGCCAATTAGAATGCGAGGCTTTTTTGGGCTGAAGCCCGATGCAAAGAAATCCAGATACGATGTTAGCGATTTCCCTTCCCCTGGTCAAGAGGTGAATAATAATGTCTTGCTTTGGAGGGATGGGTCGAGATAATTTTCAACTTTTTGGCTGAAATTCTCTCGACTCTTGCACGTGTGGGGTTGTCGTCATTGGCAGCGGAGCCGCGATGCGGGGTGGCACAACGTGGTGCACATTCAGCTCTGCAGCTGGCCCAAAAGGTAGGCACAACAGCCGAGACGTCCATGGAACATCGAGTCGTAAAGCGCAGTGCCTCAGATGTCGAATGCAGCCCCTGTCTACGTTTGGATCAGCCAATCGCACCAGCACCCGTCACCTTGTCAACAGGCACAAACGGCAAAACCAAATATATGGAGAGGTTCAACGGGCCATGCTTCCGAAGACTTCCATGGCCGTTCTGAAGGCCCGTTCGGGAATTGGTGTGCATTTTCGGTACCCAGGATAAAGGGAGGACACTGGCAGAAAATGGCATGTTTGCGATGCCAACTGCAATGCCATTTTGACACAAAGTGATGCCGCCGCAGTGATTGCGATGGCACAAAAGCGGCTGTGATGGCATCAATTGGTGTCAAATTGCATCGCAATTGGCATCGCAAACAGGCTGTTTTCTACTGGTGGGATATGCGGACCCCATACCCTATTCGGTATCCAGAATACAGCACGTGACCAACGATCATGATATGGAGGTCGCAGGTCCACAGCCGCTAAATCGCCCATCTCAATTCGAAATAGCAATGCTGTAATACGCTCTAATATATGCATTTCCAAAAATTGTCGTAATAACACTATTGCTATGCATTTGGAATAAGAATAGCTGTATTCCCAGGTTTGTGTTGCTCCCAGAACGTGCGCCGGTCCACCTCTGGCCACAGCCACTGCAACTCCTTTGGCCGCATTTCCGTCCAAGCACCTTACCTCGCAATGGCGCCGCGTTGCCGCATTTTGGCGAGTGTGCTTGACTACAAGACTGTTTGGTGAAACAAGGTTTTGGCTGTATATTTTGGTCCTGTTTTTTGTGCCCTGGGGTTGGGGCAGTACTTTACGATCGAGCGAACCAGCTGCAAACCACCCCGGCCCCGCCCGTTGGCTCCCAGCCCCCGTCTTCACCTCTTCAGTCGACGCCGGTGGGCTAAAGCAGGCGCGGGAGCTCGCCGAAGGGGGGCGTCATGAGTTTCCTGGACGCCAGGGAGCATGGCGCCAAGCCGGGATCCGGCGGCGTCGCCTCAGCCCAGCAGGAGGTGGGTCGTCCCAATCGCTCACGCTCAAGGGGGCAGAAAATAGGAAGAAGACAACAAATGGACACAATGCGGGCACACAACATGGGCACAGCGCGAGCACAACATGCACACCCCCAATGGATGCGCGTTTCCTTGGTGTTGGTGGTGTGGTGAGATCTGTTGCGTTCGCTTGTCGAAAGCGCGTGACGGGGCAAGGCCCTTGGGGTTGGGGGGGCGATGACGGCTGGTGTTGGCTGCGCCCTGCGTTGTTTCTCGTGCCTCGCTGCACTGGGAGACGTGTGGAGCATCGGGGGCGGTGTGGATTGGGGTCTCAAAGTGAAGGGGTGCCCAGTGCAAGGGGGATTTCCTCCTGCGACTTCGTTTCTGGGATGTTTTTTCTTTTCTGAGAACGCATTGCGCCATGCCGGCCCTCCGCTTCTGGTATCTGATTGTATGAAGTTGCCAATATTGGACCATGAGCGCTGTGGCACGGCCCACCCGCTTGGGTGTTTCGAAATTTGTGCATTGAATTGGGAGCCCTGGAGGCATGGCTTAGTCTCGGCAAGGGCAGCAGTTATAAGAGCGTGGGCCCTTCTTTTTACCTTTGAAGAAAACAGTACAGCAAAAAATTCTGCATGTTCTGCTCCATGAAACATTGATGAACAACAAGAAGAACAACTGGCAAACCGCCGGGGGTTGATTGAGCTGCCAGATGATGTCCCATTCCTTTGTCGTTTGCACCCAAAACAAAATTGCCCATTTCGGGCCTAATTGTCCGAAGAACGCAACAACGGGGTGGCTGTGGTGCACAGTTGATCATTTTTTGTCTTGATGGTGAGCAAGAAGGCAGTCCACAACTGGGTCCAAAGGATGAACACAGACACAATCAATCACTAGGTTTGAGAATAAAACCCACAAGCACCTGGGGTGGCGTGATGCCACGGGGGGGATGTTGCTGGGCAGCACGCCGGAGTTTGGGGTTTAGGGGAATCCGCGTGAGGGGGGAAAGGCTTCATGCGACCAGATATAACCCTCAGTGTATCAGCTTGCCTGCTTGCTGAGTGTGCGGGAGTGCAGCAGGGTGGGGCATCAACCCTTGCCTGCCAGGCACAAATATGGACAATGCATCACCAACAGCATGCAAGCTGCTGCCTCCTTTGAAAACTGCACGTTTTTTTAATACAACAACAGTGCTGCTGCGACCTACCATATCACAGTGACTGTCCATCTGTTTGTTGATTTCAATTGTTATTGCATATCTTCTTTCCATCATTTAGCTGCCAATCGACAGTGAATTCACACAAGGAATGAGACATTGGGTTATGGATGCAGTATGAATTCTGCCAGCAAAGGACACTCCAGCCAGTGTGGAGCCTGCCCATCACCTTATCAACATCAACGACAACAAAATCAGTTTTCTTATTCGCAAGTGTTAAGAAAATGGAAAAGCGGAATATCAACAACAGAATCAGTCTTTTAGCTCCCAAAGTGTTGAGAAAACAGAAAGGAATACAATCAGCTTTGGAAGGTGTGCTGGTTGCCGGCATTGAAACTTCAAGATCTTGGCCTTTGCGTTGCACCTATGGGCCAGCACTGCTGGATTTGTGGCACCCGGGCCACAAGGAACAAAGATGTTGACTGGAAGTGTGTTGGAGGAATTGCGGGAGTGAAGAAAGTGTGTCCTGGGCATCACAGTAGTGCCGTGAAATCCTTGTTGAACTTGCAGGCCAATCCTTAGGCTTGACAGCTCGTGTAAGCTTCTTCAAACTGTGTCCTCACCAGTTTCGATGTCCTGTACTGAAACTTCAACACAATAGCAGCAAGTCACAGGACTGCATTGGGTGTGTGCACCCAGCGCTTGTGTACCAAACTGGCCTGGGCCTGTGTTTAGGAACGTTGAATGTCTAACAATGTTTTTAAGCATTCAGATGTGCCCTCTTGTTAGCCAACTTGTGAAATGGCTGGATGCATTTTCGAATGCAATGATCGACTTCTTACACATTCTGCGTGGCACTCAGGCGATTGATCGAAGGGAACGGCTTCGAAGGTTGGCACTGGAGACGATCGACCTGGCAAAGGACCCCTACTTCATGAGGAACCACCTGGGTCAGGTGAAGCTCCTTTAATGCTGGCTGCCATGAAGGGACTGGATATGCCTGCATGTTCTGTTGGATTGCTGCCAATGTTGAATTGATTGTTGTGCCCTGTGGAGCCCTGTGCAAGCAATATCAGTTCAGTTGAAACTGGTAGGACAAAGCAGTGTTCTTGTGCACCCTGACAGTCGAATATGGGGAGTCAAACATGGCCTTGCTTGGTGTGTTATCATTTTGTGAGGTGTCAAGATGCTAAGTGCTAAATGCCAGTACCTCATTGCTAAATGTGAAGTTCATCTTCTAGCTCCACCTGTGCCTTGCACAAATTACAATTGTGAATGGTCGTTGGCTTGTTTCTTGCTGAACCGAGCCCGTGGTTTCTGGCTGCCCTCCAGATCGAATGCCGACTCTGTCTGACACTGCACAACAACGAAGGAAACTACTTGGCGCACACACAGGTGAATGGCAGACAGTTCCTGGCCCATTTCAGGGGGTGCTATGTGAAGTGTGGAGACGTATTCGATATCTGCTGTGTGGGCCAGAGGCGCAGCACTGAGTGATGACAATAAAGATGCATAGACTGGTTGAAATGATGTACTTTGGATGGGACGTATGCGCTTAACTCACGGAAACGTCATGGTTTTCATTTTCTATGTGCTAGGCTACCATGCATCAAATGATCTTTTTCTGGCAACATGGTTTTCATTTTCTATGTGCTAGGCTACCACACATCAAATGATCTTTTTCTGCCAACAGACAGGCAGTCTTCCCTGTCACGTGTTTGATACGATGCTGCATGACTCGATTCATTTGCGGCAGTCGCACAGTAGGCCAAGTTCCTCTCCTCCATGTTATGTCCTGTCATCCATGCAAAACCCATGCAAGTTGCCTCTGTGCCTGATCTCCAGAAGTCTTGCTGCGTGCCAGGGAAAGAGACATCAACAGAATCTTGCGAAACGTGCTGCAAGAGAAGCTGCTGAGAAGCCCGTGCAGCCTCAAGCCCAGAAACGAATGCAGCCCAGAAAAACAGGTGCAGTATTCTTTTTCCCAACAGACTTTCCATTGCTATTGCTTTTTGGCTGTGTTTTGTTCCTCTCTATGTTAATTGCTCAGTCCTGTTTGGCTTGTTCTGTTGTTCCGAGTGCACTCAGGGCCTTGTGTATGATGTTGTGCAGCAGAGAACAGAGATTAAAAATACGCTTTCTAACTTGGAGTGCCTGATATGTGATATATTTCCTTGCTGTTCAGTATACTATCTTCGATGCAGCCGCTCAAGTGACTCACTCTTGGGCTGTCGTCCTCTTCAGTTTGAATGTGTGTTTGCAGTGGTGTTTTCTGATGTCTAGCCTCCTGTTGACAATTGCTGAATTGTGCTCTTGTTCTATGCCCAATATGAACAAACACTCCCAGTGTGCACCATAATGGCAATGGCCAGAGCATTTGGCTTTCACATTGTCTGTTCCTAGAATGTGCGTGAATGGCTGTCACATGGCACTGGCCAGCCATATTGAGAGAAATTTCAAAATCTCGTTGGCTACCACTCCACTTTCTCTGTTTCTATTGCTGTGCTGCAGTGAAGATTGGTCGGCCTGGCTACAGGGTCACCAAGCAGTATGATCCTGAGACACAGCAGCGATCGTTGATGTTCCAGGTAAGCAGTTTCTAAATAGCCACATACGTAAAAGTGCAGGCTTCAGTGGTTCCTTCTGATAAAGTATGAATGACTGGCAGAGACAAGCCTGGTGGCAGCAGCTGTGAAATGTGCTCTCTAACTGCACTCCCTTGTTCTGGCAAGCAATGTGCTTTCAGATGCTGCTGGGTCCACATGCTCCACATTTCTTTATCTCTGTGTTCCAAAATATTGCATGGCATTGTGTGCATGGCATTGTTTCGTCTCACTTCCCTTTCTGGGCCATCACAGCCTTTGTGGGACATGCATTGTGACACACATCTGGTGGAAAGAGTCCCAAACTTCCCCCTTCTTTGAGATTTTGCATTCTTTGCAATTTGATCAGTCTGTACGACTTCAAATCGCCATGCACTGGCTTTGTGAGGTGGCACAAGGATTGTATCTCATCCGTTGGAATGGGGGTGCTTGTAAACATGGTGCGAATTCTGGGAGCAAGAATTGCTTCTGGTTTCTGTGTGCCACACGTGGTGCCATTCCATCAACGTAGCTTTGCAGTCTCCTCAGCAGCATTGTGCAGGTCGTTTAGGAGCTGTCTTGTCGGGAATCTGTGAAGGGCTCAGCATCACATACAAGCAATGGCCAGCGACTGTTCTCCTACATCGCCCAGCAAGGCATGCTTGTATGCAAATACTTTTGCATTACCTCAGTGAAAATGGCAATAGTGGTAGGAGTAGCTGTAGCTGCCAGAAGCGAAACTATATATTGTATATCTGTTTTGTTTGATTCTGGTTTCATCCAGAGCTGAAGCAGATCGGATGCTCTCAAGTTGAGTACCTTGAGATTGAGGAGATTCACAATGTCACCAGTTGTTCATGTTGGCCAAGGAGAACAGCTTGATTTGATTCTTGTACTTCTTTGCATACAACTACAATATGCCTGTAGCTCATTGTTATTGCAACAATCATCTTTAATACTAATTCTATGTTGCATATGAATATTGCGTTTTATATGCATCTCATTATTTGCATTTAAATTGGCATTTTCTGAGTTGCTTAATTTGATTTGAATTAAATTGATCCAGAGCTGGGTTGGATATTCATGCTCAGGTAGAGTACCCTGAGATTGAGGAAGATTTCAAACCCCGCCACAGGTTCATGTCTGCCTACGAGCAGAAGGTCGAGGCCGCAGACAAGAAATACCAATACCTGCTGTTTGCTGCGGAGCCCTATGAGGTGATAGCCTTCAAGATACCCAACCTGGAGGTGCAGAAATCCGAATCTGATGCCAAATTCTTCACGAACTGGTACGTGAGATGGGTGAAAGGGTTGAACGGGGGGGAAAGAGGGGGAGGTGAGCGAAAGTGGAAGTAAGACCACTAACATATGTCATGTGCAAAACAGCAAAGGAGTGTGGGGGCACGCAAACAAAGGGACAATCCCTTTGAGTACCTTGACAGGGCCATTCCTGCTGCCTCTGGCCTTGTTTTGCACTCTTGCAGTTTTATGGTATTCCTTTTTCCTTGCATATTTGTGCTTTTAGTACTTCTTGTACTCCTTTGTATCTTTTTACTTTTCTACTTTCTTGCATGTTTGGTACTGTTTGAAGGCCTTGTACTTCTGTTTGTGCACGTTGTGGCTCACGCATTGAAATCGTTTGTTGGCCCTGCAGGGATCCGGACAGCAAGATCTACTCCCTGCAATTACACTTCAAAGCTATGGGTGAGTTTGGCTGGTTCCGGATTGAATTGTGTAGCGGATATCAATGTGTTATTTGGCAATGCTCATCGCATAAATTCAAGGCTTGCAAATTGTAATTGCGCCCTGGCCCTAGTGAAAAAATGTAAGAGATACGTGCCTTATGCCACCTTTGAAGGTGGGGCAGGTGCCGTTGTTTTCATCAGCAGGTGCAGAGGTGGAACACCAGTTGGAATTTTGACTCCAAAGTCCACTGCAAATTCCCAATGTACCAGTACTGTGGAATGTCTTCATCATTCAGGAGTAGCCTTGTCCATTTGAAACCAGAAAGGTGAGAGAAATGTAGACATGACTACCAGTTGGCTGGTGCTTGTGAACTGTTGGCCAATGGCTATGACACAGCCTTCATCAGCTTTGAATAGCCAAGTGATGTGCGATGGTGCCCTATGTCTGTGAATAGAGTCCTCCATAACTCGATGTGTGCAGGCACAGGGACCTACCCTTGCAACATGAACAAAGTCAGTGACGACTTGCAAGATTTTTGTTCCTTGCCAATACATTCGGTCACAAACAGAATAAGCACAAGATGTACACGGAATGTACACCAAAGTATGCTTTGCTGGCACGAAGGTGCATGGACTGTTTTTTGTCATGCTTTCGCAACTGTAACATTATACTGGAGAATACACTGTTGCCTTCCAGGTTAAGTGCTGGAGCAGAAACGCGTTGCTCAAAAGAAAGTGGTGCTCTCAGGGGACTGACATTCTAGTTCCAATGCACATATAGGGGACAGCACCCCTCTCCAGTCATAGCATTCTGTGAATGAAATTCTGCTGCAGATTTGCTGAGTGCTTTAGTGTCATCTCAATCGAAACGCTTTTATGACAGGGACTAAAGGACCCGCCCCTGCTGGACCTGCCACCATGCCAAACGGTGTCCCACCACCTCCTGTGCCTCCTTCCATTCGGCCACCGCCACCTCCCGTGCCTGTCGGAGCTCCCCAGTTTCCGCCAAGGCCCACCCATCCACCAGTGTTGCCACCGGTGCGACACACAGCCCTGCACCAATTTCTTGTGAAAAATGTGCCTGTTATTGTTGCCTTGTATATGCAGGGCAGTGGCTTGCCAGGACGAAATTTGGTTAAGGGAATGAAGCTTATGTGGGCGTATGTAAGCACTGTGGCACTGCCCTTTCAGTGCCTCGCAGGTGCCTGACCATGTTTTGCCAATGCCGATGAATGTGTCCAATGGACTTGGAGCTATGTCTAGGGTACTTGGAGTTGATTCAGATAGTAATTGGCTTTGTTGCATTGTGTCCTAAATGGTATCGCTGCCAAGAAAACACGAAGTCAGGCACTGTTCATATCCACAGGCATTACTCCATGTACAATCCACTTTCACTGGTGCGGCCATCAAGCCGCTGCAGCCAGGGTTTATTGGCAATGTGAATTGCAGTATGTCATCAACTGAATGCTCTTCCACTCCTTGCCCAAATAGGCATTTATCCCTCTGCAACTCCTGGTGTGCTGTTGCTGGGCATACCAACACTCTTAAAAAACAAAAACGATGACAAGCGATGTCTGGAGCTGTAGAAAAGCATGCTGGGATGCTTTCTCATGCTTTCTCTTTGATTTTGGTACTAATTCCTTGCAATGTTAACCAGTTCTCCTGGCCCCCAACACAGAGCACATTCTGATGCTCATCTATTTGTGGTCCTGCCAGATGGGTCGGCCGCCCCCGCCCATGGCCACCCCACAGCCCTTTGGGGCCCCTCAACGCCCCGAGGGGATCCCACCGCCGCCCATGCCTATGGGTATGCGGCCCCCGCCTCCCCAGATGGGCGGCCCCCCGCCGCGACTCATGCAGCCAGGCGGTCCAGGGCTGCGTCCGCCTATTGGAGGGCCGCCTCCCATGCGCCCACCCATGAGGCCCCCGGTGCAGCAATGATGGGGTGAGGGAACAGAAGTTAGTTACTTGGTCATGTGGGTGCAGCTGCACCTTTTCAAGTTTCAGCCGCTGCCCAGAGACAAGGGCAAGGCGTTTGACAGGTTGTGCAAAAGTCATCTGCACTCGTACATCTTAAGCGATGCTGTGGGGTTGAGGCCAGAGGATGCACTGGCTTTGGTGTGAAAATCTCATCTGCTGATATTGGGTCACAGACTCAAGATATGGAAAAGGCACACAATGTCATTATATCCCACGTGCATCTTTATGACTGGAGGCAGGACCTTTGGGCGAGTCCAGGCTGTAGACTGTGCAGTGTAGTGCGATCTTAAAGGAAGGCATGCCATGCGTGCACAGTTTAAATCCTGTGCAACCCATCCCTGCTCACCTCAGCTCACTGCCTTGGGACAGGGTGAGGTACACAGTGTGCAACACTATGCAATTGTTCGAGAGGAAAGAGCCCTAAGCGCAAAGCCTTCCTCAGCGACATTTTAGGTGCTGTGCAGTGTGGAGATGGTTCAGTAACCTGCAAGAGTGAGATAGAGGGGTTTGCAGCAATGAGCAACGCGAGTTGCAGAATGGCAGACCTGCTCAGATGGGTCCCTATGAGCGAGCTTGGGAAAGATGTGTGCAGCAGTGAGGATGTTGCAAGGAAAGTGCAACATAAGAAGCAAGAAAACCTGTATTTGGATGGTACCGAGTGTGTGGGCATAAAATTGGGCTGCAATACAGTGTTTACTGCATTGCGAATGGTGCAGTAGATGCGGTGTGCATTGGTTGTGACTTTGGTATATTATGCATGCAGGCGCCTGCTAGCCTGTGGGAAAGACAACAACATATCAACACTAGGAGGATAGGGGGGATGGGGTGGGGTTGGAGGCCTGAAGACGCATCAGGTTATGCCAATATGGGTTCGATGCAATTGAGTTGCTCATTTAATCAGGATTCTGTGGTTGAAAGTGTGTCGCAGCTACTCGTTTGCCGAGCGTATTGCTCGTTGTCCGTCTCTTGTATCTGATTGTCTCGACATGGTGGGAAGCGTCAACTCCACGTCGTCTTATTTGGCAACTTCAAAGACCTGCTCAAGGGAGATGTCCAAACAACTCTCAATGTCGAACATCGCGTCGTATGTCCTCCAATGCCGCGGAAAACGTGCACGGGTTTGGAACCGCCACGCCGTCCATCAGAAGCGTCCACTCGTCCTGGGGCACGAACTCACGGGCCTCATTCGCATCCCCTTTCAGGCCGCTCTCGGTACAAGTTGTCCACCGAGTTGCGCAGCTCCTTGAAGAGGTCTTGGTTTCTAAACAGGTGAAAACGAAGTAGGCTCCTTCGACCCACCCCACTAGTGACTGGCGAGTCGCCTGGCTCAACTTGACAAGAAACGGTGCACATTTTGTTTTGAGTCATCCAGAACGAGGTGCAGCTGACCAAGGCCATCCAGCGCTCAAGACACTAGGAGGAAAAGGGCGAAATAAGACATGTTCGAACACGTACAAAGTTTACAGGTTTGTGTTATTTTCATGTTCTTAGCATGCAGAACGCTGATGAAATGCACATATATGTGTTCGCAATAAGTGTTATTTGGTCCTGCTAAAGTTGGTCATTTCAAGTCCATTATCAAGTGGCAAATGACTTCATCAACTTCATTAAAACTGCACAAGATGGGTCATGACGACCAGTTTGAATTCCGCCGTAATTGCATCTCATGGGGATCAAGTGGGGATACAGCTGCTAGAGATGGACCGACAAAAGATGGATGACTTCCCCAAGCAATAACGTTATACAGGAAAAGGCGTGGAATTCTGGGAAAGGAGACTATGACAAGCATGCATTTTCATCCATATAGAATATACAAGGGCATTCTGGAGCCATTTCGAAGGATTACAAGGGGGAATCAGTACAACCATGCACCCCAACAGCCGCCGGAATCATCCCGTCAAGCCGTCATGTAAACCCACCCGTGCTGGGTGGCGGGTTATCTCAAAAGATGCCAGCTGTATACATAGCTGGATCCAAGACGGTGTTGCATCAGGTCCTGGATCTGTCCGACAGCTGTACATGGTCCAAGAGACTATATATAGGCTGGGGCTGGCGTTGTGCGCCAACCCGTTGCCAGTCAGTCCCCTCGCTCTGTGTTGCGCGCCACCGAGCACCATGGCTGCTGGCCGTTTCCGCCAGGTCGAAGCCTGGAAGATCCTCATCGCCCAGTGGCTGACAATCGGCCATCTCCGCCTATGCCATTGGGCGTTGAATGGCGTGGATGCGCCCGTGGGATTCTGGGCCTTCCTCATGGCGGTGAAAGTTCCTTTCAGTCAGGAAGATGCGCTCTGGATTCTGCGTGAGTGACGGCGGGACCGCGAAAGGGCGGGAGCTGCAGGAGCTCGCGCGGGATGTGCGCCTACGAAACGCTTCCACGCAGTTGGATGGAACTTGCGTTTTGGGGGTCAGCGAGCGCTCGATTTGGAATGATGCATATGACCCCAACGCGATTCACCGCGAATGGGAGCTGGAGGTCAAGGTCCACGAGACAGAGCCATACAGTGGCATGAGCGTCTCCGCCTTCCAGCTGCGCTTCCAAGACATGCTGGAGCGGGAAGGAGCTCGGATTCTGGAATGGAAGGGCTGCTGGTTCGATTTTGAGCGCCGTGAGATTGAGGTCCGGATGGAAGTTGCGATTCCCTTTGCTGACCACCGGGGGTGCAGGCTGGAAGGGGGCGGACTTGACAGGCATGCGTTTGCTCGTACTTTGCCTGCCAACTTCGACCTGGAGATCCCCCGTGAGTACAGGGATTTCGCGACCAACACTCCACCCAATGCGGATGCACGGCGCAGCGCGGCATACAATGCCACGTGCCACGAAATGGCCGCCAGAATGAATGTTGGCAAGCCAGCCCAGACGAACGTGGAAGCAAGGGCCAAGAGGCGTGTGTGGAAGCGAATCTTCCGCAAGTGAAAGCCCGAAATGGAGGAGATAGGTGATGGGGACAGTCATGACCAGCGCCCTCCGGTTCCGACACTTCCCCCTGGTTTTGACGAGGGGCCGTCGACGCGTGTACTGCCGCCTGGCTTCAGCCCCGATGACGAGAGCTGAGGGCCCGCGGCATGGCGTGATTGCTAGCGCGTGAAAGGACCCCATCGGAAGCCGCTGCCACCTACATGGAGCCGCGGCTGCGGGACAGGGAGTGACAGGAGGATCTCGCGGTACTAGCCGCGGCATGATGACTGGACGGGGCGAACTGGGGGCGCGTCGGACCGGGGGCTGATCGGGGGAAGTCGTTGGAAGGGTGCACATGTATGGTTCTAGGAAGTGACACCGTATAGGGATACGGTTGAAAGGGAAAGGACAGACATGGGCTGCGCGGAACATCAGGAGAGTCTGGCATGGGACAATGCCTCGTGTAAGGCATCCTGGGAAAAGACAGAACGTTGTATACGACATTCTGATTTGTAATAAAAGACATTGGAGATTCTGCATGGCTGAACTCCGCAGGCCCCTCAGTGCGTGTGTGTGCGACTCGGCCACCTAAATCCGTGCGCGAGCCCGACTAGAGCCCCTCGAAGGCACTCGAACCCGTATTCAGATCCCCTCTCTGTGCCCGTGAGCCTGAGAGCCGGTTATTTTCTGGGTGTGAGGCCCTCCGTCGGACTGGGAGCGCGTTCTGGAGTTCTGAGGCTGCTTGGCCCGACCGTAGTCGAGCAGTCGTTTGCGTGGACTCCTGCGTACACCCTGTCTGAGGTGCGATAGCGCAAGGGGTGGACGGTGCTAGGTGTGGAAGAATGTTGGGTGATGGTATCTTTGGTTGTTTGAACGTTGCCATGTCGGACGGTGAAGCGGACGCATCTCTGAGTATGGGTGTGGGTGTCGCACTGGCGTGTGCGGCTGCCATGGCAAGGGTGATTCGCATGGTGGATCGATGCATGGTTTTCGTCGGGGGACTCATGGTAATGCTGACTGGCAGTGTGGGAAAGATGCTTGGGGTTGAGCATATGCATGTGGATCGTGTCATGGGGCATTTGTAGACCGTCCAGCACATTGTCGGAATCTTGTTCATGGTAAACGTTAGCGCTGCCATTATCTGTGCGATGGGGCGTTTCTTGCAGCCCTTTTTTCACTACTGAGAGCCACTATGACCGAGTTGACAGTGGCGCTAAGCTCTGTGTTCCACGATAATCCAAGGTCGTCCAATAATTGGAAGTTGGAACTCAGATGAAGCCTCCAACCATTCTTGGCAAAGCTCCCAAGTGGGTCGAGCAGGAATTGGACAGCCTAACAGCACTCCACGCACCTTCCTGTGCCCTTGTCCGGACGAATTTTGCCTCTCGCCACCACCGAGGACGTAATGTACGCATGATGTCCTCGTCCTTCCATCCGGGAATATCCTCGTGTCCAGGATTCGCAAAGTTCACCACTGAGCCCGACACCTCGGACGGAGAAACACGAGCACGAAACATGAATACACGAATAAAACAATCCGAGGTCTACAAATCCGAATATACGGAACGCGAATACGAGGTCTACAAATCCGTGCGAATGCGTTCTCAGCCATGGCGATCACAACAGTGTACGGACGGGTCGGGGTGGCTGGTAGCTCGCTGGGAGAACGGAGTGAATTGACGCGTTTGTTCCATGTCTTCTTACCTGTCCGCTCACCTCATCGTCGCTGCATGTATGCAGTATGCAGTATGCGGTAGTAGTAGTATGCAGTATAGTATACAGTATGCCCTCTCATAGTATGCAGTATGCGTGCATGCAGTACCATAGGATATTCAAACCTTAGTTGAATTCAACGCTGAGACATTTCAACGTTGCAGGTTTGGCTCCTCGAATTTTGAAGACGATTGTTTAGACGTCCTTTCCGCTTTCAACTGATGTGTCTGGCGGCTGAAATTTCGGGACGCAACAGCTCCTGCATGTCCCAGATCGCCTCTGGTGCTGCGGGACATATTCCTTGGGTTTGGCCACCAGGACACCCAACGGCATAGAAGCGACGCTGAGCTTT